GTGGCTCAGGTGGATGGGAGTCAGAGTTCCCACTCTGACTCCCTCCTCCTTCCTCCCGCACGGTCTGTGTGTTAGCTGGGAGGAGTGACGTGCAGTCACTTCCTCCCAGCGTGTGATGTAATCACAGGGGGCCCAGTCGCGCTGTTAAATCGCCCAGTGTTGACCGGGCCCCCTCACAATCCACATCCATCGGGTGGCCCTGACAGCATGGGCCACCCGATGGACACCTCCATGTGTGGCCCCGGCAGTTTACCGCACAGGCGGGGGCCGCAAATGGTGATGGCGGTACCCGGTCGCAGGGTTACCGCTGGCTCGCACCCGCCCACCCAATCTCTCAAAATTAGAAAATCCCTACCGCCCACCTGGAATCCTGAAACGCCCACTAGGGCGTTAGGGACCAGGTTGACGACCCATGCTCTAGGAAATCCAACTTCCAGCACAGTAAATCCTCCAGAACAGCCATCCTTTGAACCCCAAGAAGGAGAACGTGCCATGGAGTGGTCAATTCTTAAAAGGGCGTTGGTTACATTAGGGTATAACAACACTGGTGCTTTGGCAAGCATACGTAAAGTACAATTCTATAAACCCTCCAGTAAATACAGTTATGGTACTATAAGTATACTGGTGCCATCCTGTAGACTTTTTGTCAAATGGCTTTGAAGCAGTATTACCAAAACCAGCGCTCTTCCCAGCACCCACAGCCTTCCCCATCTTACACACATGATCACACTTTTAACCGTGATGGTCTGGCCATGGTTTAGTGAGAGAGTGCAAGACTTTTTGGTTTCAATTGATCTAACCTTTCTTTACTAAAAGCCAATTTAGGCATGTGCAGGATACGTATCTGTTGTTGGATTTACACAAAATTTTAAGGATATGAAATTGACTAAAACAACGCAGGAAGCTGTGCATGTTAGACGCCATTAAAACCTCCTGATTATTGGGAAGCGGAGCCTGAACCTGAAACTGAGTGGTCGCCATTTCTGCCAGCAACCAAAACTCCTGAAACTAATCCGCAAACATCCTGAAAAGGGGCTGACCAATTGACAAATCTACCTTGAAATCTGCATCGGGACTGCGGAGCGCACACATTGATGCCTTTTTTTCCAGGTGAAACGGAGGCGTAAGGCCTATTCCTCGCCGACCATCTCCGGGCTCAAGTATTTCCTAGACGGAGTGTATAGCCAAGGTGAGCCTGACCCAGCAAGCAGCCCTCTGCAGACCCACGGCATGACCCCAGTGAAAATGGGGAGACAAACACAGCCCAACCATCCAACGGAGCAGGCCGACATCGGGATCTTACTGCAGAAACAGGCGCACTCCAAAATGGCCGCGGACGCTCCACAAATCCCGACAACGTCCCGCGCTGCATCCTAAACACCTGTGCAAACGGAGGCTGATAGTGAGTACACCCTGACACCACCACAGGCACCACCTAACACACTGGCCACTAAACAAGACCTCCACAATTGGGTACAAGACATCAAGAAGACGCTGGCCACGGATGTGGGCTTGCTTAAAGGGGACTTACAAAATGTAGCAGAACGGGTATGGGTGACTGAGGAGAGCATCATGAACATCCAAACGGACATAACACAAGTAAAAGGAGTGATACAACAAATACAGACCACCCAGCAGGGTGCCCATTGCAACCACGTTAAAATATATGGGGTACCCTCGGACATCACACCAGATGAACTGCCTCACGATCTCTGACCCACCTTACAGGCCAATTGCGCACCGCAGGGGTGCCATATCGCATTTTTTTCATTTAGAAATGTTTCATTTATGTTTATAGCTACTGTATTGCTAATTTCTAGTTCAGCTTATGTTACTATGCTTCATACACCTGACAATCTACATGAAAACATTGACTCCCGGAAGACCGACACATGATGGTGGCTCTACACACCTGTCGGAGAGGCAGGAACCTTACAGTTCCCCTCCCCCCCACCCCCTAGGTCAGGGGCAAACCACCTCTGGTGAGCCCTGGCAACTAGACACACGGATGCCCAGTTCACCAAAGACCCACCACTTGATCACCTAAAGCCTGACCTGGACATCTTGACACATGACCCGCCCTATAAGTCAGCCTGCGCAACCCTATATATCAACGGCGACCTGGGTCACCCACTATCCCGAACCACTACAAGCCCGGTGACACATTACACTTGAACACAACTACTGTACAGCTCTCCAGATTACCCAAAACAATTGACCTTCTTGCACAATATCACACGAACACCTGAAATGCCACACCTGACAATCTTGAAAAGTGACACTGTTAGTCCTATAAACCGCTCCTGCTGACATACACATTTTCACCTATTGTCCGATACCAAAAATCTAAAATGTGCACAAACCTCAACTGCCATAATGTTATATTACTTGAACCGCTTGCTCCTGCTGTTGTGGCAGAGCAAACATGTTTGTAACCATAAGCACAACGCAAAAATAAAGAATAAAAAAAAAAAAACCTCAAGATTATTAAATGGCTCATTTTTATATGGATAACTCACCTCCCTCTAGCAGACTCCTTGGCTCGGTATCGTACACAGTACAGAATTATAGCCCCTGCCATCAGCAGCAATACAAGACCAGCTATAAGCCCAGCCACGAGACCTGCCACATCCACAGTGGCGGAAGATGCTGAGGGTATAAAAGGAAAGTCATTGTTAGGAGTTATTTATATCAGAAAGACAATTGCAAATATTTAGGCATCCTACTAGAATTATGACCACATAAATGTTACATACAACTTCTGTCATGGAAAACATGCTTACAGGGGAAGTGAACGCTGCTGTGAATGCGGTCTACTTGTACTCTGCTCTGTAAATGCGCAGCAAGTAACTGCCCTAAAGGGAAACTATAGACTAGGAATATCTAGCACCTCTTGTAGACCGCCACTAGAGATGGAGTTAACCCTGCAAGGTAATTATTGTAGTTTATCAATAACTGCAATAATTACAATCGCGGGGTTACAGGGACAGGGACACTGCACCCAGACAACGTCAATGAGCTGAAGTGGTCTGGGTGCCTATAGCGTCCCTTTAAGCCGGGGCTCAACATTTATACTCACAAATGGCCATTGGCATGTAATAATGTATCCCAGTGAATAGAAATTTACTCCTGGTCAGTGTGGAAGGGACTCTCCAGATTTGCAGTGGCAAGTAAGTTCAGCCTTGGCTAATAGTGTAGAACTTCAATTTTTAAACTCTGCCTTAAGCTAAAACTAAAAAGATTTAGGAGGAAAAAAACAACCCAATAATTATAGTTTTTCTTTCCTTTAATAACCTTGCATTGTGTTGGCTTACTTCTAAATGCATTTTTCATTCTGTACACTAGAGTGTATAAAGAACATACAACTGGCTGTAAATTATATATTTTTCCTATAGACACTTACCATGGGTAGCCCCTATCATGACTATTATTCACATGAGAGACTTTACTATTGGACAAATGTGAAAAGTGTAGGAAAATCCATTAACCCCTTAAGGACACATGACATGTGTGACATGTCAGGATTCCCTTTTATTCCAGAGGTTTGGTCCTTAAGGGGTTAAACAAGAACAAAAATGATTCCCCCCTCCTAACCTGCTCTTCTTGCTCTTATGTAATCAACCACGAAGGACTACTCTGCAAAATGTTTAATGACCATTTCATAAGAAACGATACTGGAATCTGGAATAACTGGTTTCACACCAGTGTCATGAGTGGTGTGTCCTGGTTTTGTGCTGCCCTAGGCAGGACAAAACTCATGCACCCCCCTCCCCCCACGCCACCCCCACCCAACCCTTCCCCCCCTTCTAGATACACACACACACAGTCAGACACACACAGACAGTAAGACACACAGTCAGTCACACACACAGTCTCACACACACATTAACACTTTTTTTTAATTTAACCCCCCCCGCCCCTCCTTACCTTTGGGAATGCTGTGGAGGGGGGTTCCTCTTTCTCCCTGGTGGTCCAGTGGCTGCCGGTCGGGCTGACTGCTGTGCGGGCGGCTGGCGAGGGAGCTCTTCCTCTGAGCAGTCTGCTCAGCTCCCTCACGCGTCGCAGAGTGAGGCTGGGAGCCGGGTTGATGACGTCATATTCCGGCTCCCTGCCTCACTCTGTGGCGCGCGAGGGAGCTGAGCAGAGTGTTCAGAGGAAGAGCTCCCTCGCCAGCCGCCCGCACAGCAGCCAGCGCCGCCCAGCCCGACCGGCAGCCACTGGACCACCAGGGAGAAAGAGGAACCCCCCCCCAGCAGCCAGCCCAGCCCAGCATGTCAGTTAGCCGTGTCATAGAGATATGGAAATTCAGAATTTGGGGGGAGAGGGTGAAAGCATGTATTTGCACTTTGCATTATATTTTATGCAATTTCTTATAAAAGGAAATATCTATTAAGTAGGGCACACTGTTTAACTACATTATCAATACCTCAATCTTTACATAGCCAGACACTATAAATCAATATACCAACCTACACAAAAACACCTATTATGAGATGAAAAGGGAGAATTTATCTAATAGTATGCTTTGCCTGCTACAGTATCAGAGGATTAATGCGTATTGATATAAAACATAAATGCCATTTTTTTTCCTTTTATAAAATAGTCTATTATGAAAAGAAAAAAAAAAAAGAAAAAGAAAAAAAAGTTTCCACCCCATTATATTAAAAACTGTTTTAATGCCATACATCAATGACCATGAAACATCTGTACTTTAAAAAAAACAAAAAAACAAACTATTAAATGGCAGCTGTGATACAAGGGACTGTTAATTGTCTGAATTTACATATGAAGCAAAATTAGCAAATTGAGTAAACCAGGAAGAATTGTTAGGGCCTTGTATTTATTTCACATTAGAAAGCTAGGGGGCAGTATTGTCAGTATGAGAACCCAATGTGTGTACATTTATAAATGGTAGTGGTTTTTTATGGATTTAATTTAATGCCTGCCAATGCATGACTGATCAAATATACACACACACACACACACGATAAGTACTGTCT